CGGCGGGGCTGCCTGAGGTACCGGGGCCTGTTTGCCGGGATTCGGAGCTGGCCGAGGGGGGCTGTGCCTTCCCCGTTTTCTCTCTGTGCTCTCGCCCGTTTTGGCGTCCGCGGAAACTCCCTCCCCCTGCGCTGCAGGGGCTCGTTCTCCGTGCGGCCCGGTTGGTGGGTCTCGGTGACATCTGCGCCTGCAGCTGCCGGGCCGTGCAGGGAAGCGCCGTGAAACTTCCCTGTGCAAGGGCTGCAGCAGGGAACTGGGGCCCGGTGCTGGGGAGGGTAAGGGATGGAGCAGGAGCCCGGCTGGTGGGGGGTGTGTTGGTAAAAGACCTTTTGCGCTGCCTTCTGGTGGGCCTTGAGACTTTCAGGGCCTTACACAGCAGCAGAAGTTCACAAGCATCCCTTTTAATTTGGAAGAGGGACAGAGGACAGGCCGTAGCCTCACCTCCCGGAGCTGAGGTGTAGCTTGCCTTGCAGAGGACGCTGAGGGAAAGTAGGTTTTGATGTAGCGGGTGAACAGAGGGAAGGTGAGAGAGTTCAGTGTTGAAACAGAGCTTGAAGAAAGGGCCCGTGTGGCTGGCCTGCAGGTAAGGGGAATTGTCAAGTCCTGTCTCATACTGGAGCCATACCTGAAGTCAGGAGGAACTTGTGTGTACTCCATAGAAGTTTATTTAATATTGAGGTTTATTTAACACTCATATGCATCCGACTGTTTGAGGAGCTTTGATGAAAAGGACCTGTGGAAAATGTTTTGTTTAGATTTTAATTTGTGGTGTTTTCTCTTGCACTTCTGTTTTTATTAAAAACAAATTGAAGGAAAGTGCCAAGGAGTAGACTTTGTTCTGTTAAGAGTCACATCTGCTTCTGTGAAAGATGATGATTATGCTTTTGGAAGAGGTATTGTCAGGCTTATTTACCCAGTGGGAAGAGGATTTGTTCTAGATGTGTTCTCACAAATAATAGCAGTAATCCAGCAGAAAAGAGTGGACTGTTGCAAACTAAACAACTACACCAACAAGTGTGCCTATTTGCTTCATCTGCTGAACAGTCATTTGGTAGCATGGCCTATAGGTTTTCATATCCACTTTCCACAGCTGAAATTGGACTCTTTTTTTATAACAAATACTATTTAAATGAAATGTAAAGTTTGAGACTGTAGCTCTTGATCTGCCATTTTGTGGAAAACCATGCTTTGGTATTTAGTCTGCATGGTAGGAATGATGGCTTGGTGGGCAAAGGTGAGCGTAGTAATCATGAGACTGATTATCTAGGCCTTGTCTTTTATCTTCTGTGCATCCTCAAGCAACTTAACTCACACCTCAGTTTCCTCTCTGCAAGTGAGATATATGATAATATTTTCCTAGTTTTCTAGGGGTAGCGAGGATGAAGCGCAGTGAGAGACTGCAAAGCACTAGTTAAAGTGTCATGTGCATTAAAGACCTGAGTGGGTCTTGGTTGGGGCATCTTTGTGCCTCAGATTTTGACTTCAGGAGGCTGGTTTGTGGAAGAGAATGGGTAGGAGGAACAACCATTTAGTCTGGTTGAATGAATGTAGAATTGTAGAATGATAATGCTTTTTTTTCTAGTCAAATTCAACACGTTTTCCTCCTCCTCTATTAAACCAGTCCTGTCTTATAATTTCTATTGCAACTGTTGCTATGAGCTTTATTAACTGCTTCCTTATTAACAGAGCTACTCATCC